AGGGTTTAGGGCTTCAAGTAGACGCTTCTTTCAAAGTCTCAGTGTCAAGGTAAACCATAACCTTACCCCAATAGTGGAGAAAGAAATGAAATCTGAAATGGAATTAGTGGGTTTAAAACCAGCTTACACCTGGTGGTTTAGGCGTGTTAGGAGGCATGACGGAAAAGAAAATGGACACTACTATTTAGGGTCACAGTGCTCAAGGGCTTGATGGTATCCTCGTCACAGCTAGGGGCAATAGTTCTGCTAATCCGTGAAAAATCAAGTTTGTCCATTTGTGCAGCTGTAAGTTGTATCGTACTGATTCTGTCACTGTTGCATTGCGACTTTTCATGCCTGTTCTTGATGTTTCCTGTTCCGATTGCCATGCTATTGGTAGGACTCTCGCGTTCATAATTTGCTGTTACTATCAATTCCATTCTTGTTGCTACAGACATATACATACATCTTAATGGTTACAGTTGGCTTTCAAAGACACTTCACATGTTTTAGCATTTCTGGATAGGTAGAAGGAGGTTAAAAGGACTGCAGAACTTGTGGTTGCCAGAGCAGCAGGGTGTGGGTCTGGAACAGTTCTTTCTTGGTGTTGCTCTTGCCTTGACAAGTAGCCAGTAGCCATGCTCGCCGTTACATGAGGTAGCTGAAGACCCTCAACCCTAAACCCTAAAACCCTAAACCTGACTGCATGACATCAAGGGGCTTGGTTAGGCTTTGTGCTGTTTATAGGAGTAGCACCGCAAGTCAAGTCCGTGGTCACAGGGATGGTTTGCCACATTGGAAGCTCTATACCTTAAACCCTAAAGCCGGAAAACTCTGAATCAAAACCATAAAAGAATCAGCTGAAGGATTCCTCTGCTTGGGTTGGAATAGAACTGACTCAAAATCTTTGCCTCTTGTCAAAGCGTATCCCGGACTCCGATCCCATAAAGATCAACAAGCCTGAAACTGCAGCACCCAGAGAATATATTCCCAGAGAATATATTCTCAACATATCCCCTATACAACCCGTACATACCTCCCCCCCTATACCCCTAAATCAACATCTAAGCAAATTCAAGCTACGAGCCCAAGCACCATCGAAGAAGCATGTGGGAAGGACATGGAAGGGTCCTTGTGGATGGACAGGGTGCGAAGGCTACAAAGGTCTGAGGGCTCACTGTTCATCTTTTGTAGAGTGAATACTGTTACGATTACTCTACCAGTAATGTTTTTCCCCTATTGTGCGATTTTGTCTTGATTAATAGCTTCTTGTCAAGTCTTCTTGCCATAGAAGCTGTGCGGGCGCATCAATGTATTCCTCGTGTTACTGCTACGGCTACACATACAAGCCGCGAATGCTACGGCTGCAATGACTACTTCTTCTGCTTGAACTGGTATATTCTTCGTCCATCCAACCGCACTTTTCATGCTGTTCTCTTCGCTCGTGCCCTCTCCGTGTTCTGTTTCTCAACACAGACGGTCTCTTGAAATTGGACAGTCTTAGGAAGCCTATTACTTGCACTTGTACTTGTACTAGCGGTACTACTACGACTACTTCCACTACCACCATTGCTACCACTCATACCACCACCACCACCACCACCACCACCACCACCACCACCACCAGCGCCGCCGCCGCCGCCGCCGCCGCCGCCGCCGCCGCTGCCGCCATCACTGCTGCTACTAGTAGTAATGGCAATATAGTCCCACTGCCACTGCTCCAACTCCTGCTACTTCTGCTGCTGCTGCTGCTACTGCTACTGCCACTACTGCTAACCACTACCCCTCCGCTACTGCCACCGTACTGCTAGTGGCAGTAGAACTGTCTTCCTAGCACCGTTCGTGGCCATAGCAATAATACAAAAACAAAATCGCACTCGCAGAGGGAATAATAGAAGCTGCCATGGTTGTAGCCCCGCTGATGAGGTTGAATTGATACTACTTTTCCACAAGCCTTCTTCCATTTTGAAAGACTATCCCCACTTGTATAACCCACAATATGCTAAACTCCTGCTCTGCAGGAACCCCCAAGAGGATAACCACCTTACTTCTTGAATTCGCGAGATTGCAGGCTTCCTAAAGGTCCTGCAAACGCTAAGCCACCCCTTTAGGGCTTAGGGTTCGGGCACGAAGGAATGGAAACGAGAGTGGAAACCATTCTATTTATAGGTTTATGTAAGAACCCCAATATACTATAGTAGTTTCCATTTTCTTTTCCATTATCCCAATATAACCCCAACATACACCCTATAATCCCTATACAATCTGTAGGGAATCATCCCTCCATTCCCTACTGACAACCAGCAAGATATCCCTTTTTGCACACGCCTGGGAATAGATACCTTCGAGAATTGCAATGGCAAGTTTTGGCCCCCTAAACTAGGGCCCCATAATGTTAAGAAACCTATCAATTTGCAGAACCAGCGTCCATGCTCCTGATTCTGAACCTGCTTCAGCAACTTAGTCAGGGCTAGAGGCCCATACCTAGGATGCAGATTTTGGGGTCTAGGCTTTGTTGCGCAAATCTGTTGCATCATCTTGCCGCACAATTCAACACACCTCCGCACAAAAAATTGAATGTTAAATGTCCGGTGCCCTCCCAGAAAACCCCGAAAACTGAAGTCGAGTTGGCCGAGACAAGAGCCTCTCACAGAGGATGTATTTGAGAACCTAGTAGATGTGTCTCACATATTGGCCGCTACAATCACATCTTCTATATTGCTTTAACTAGCAATGTATCGTTCCAGCAAGTAAGTGCGTTGAGTAAGTGCGTTGATTCAGCTGCTGGGTTCGGATAGCTGTTTGCAGTATTCCAGCTGATTCAGTAATCTGAAGTATGAATACTAGTCATTCATGCCGGAAGCGTGTTCGTTCTTTGTTCTGGCAGTTGAATTCCATATGTTAATTTGATGACCTGACTCTCATGCATCTCGTTATTCCTTTCAGCAAAGACTTCAGTGTAAGTGACCAGTAGGTTTCGACTGTTCAGGACGGTTGAATCATCTCCTACCCCTGGCACTAAAAAAAAATATATCAAATACGCTCATAATGTGGTATATTACAATATAATGGGAATATCTAATGTTAGGCGGGTAGGGGGGGGGGGTTAATATGAGGGGGAGTGGATTAATCAGCCTTTAGGGTGCAGGAGTTAGGCGAGGTGCCTTTAAGTTACTTACTTGGTACTTTCCCAAAATAGGGGGACACCAATATAGACCCTAAAATACTATGGTCCTCATTATGTGGACTCACAAAAAGGTAACCCTAAACCCTAAACCCTGAACCCTAAACCCTAAACCTTATACCCCTAATTCTGGGAAACCCCTACTTCTCTCGTCTTGCCATGCCCCATCAGGCCTACAGACGCAAAGCTTCAGGGTCGAGAGCTTGACTATTCTCATTTTTTCCATCACTATTATGAGTACTATTATCACTATCACTATGTTCCTAGTATTGATACTATTTTGCTGTTTTGGTGTTCGGGTTTGTTGCTCGGGTTTGAAGTGGTTGTAAATGGGAGATAGTGAGCATGACGTACAGCAAACCCACGTAATTGTCATGTTGACACACAAACTATGCTGATAATCCGGCCATCAATATGGTAGTGAATTGTTTTAAGGCCGTAGGGCATCAATGGGACTGGGTCGACTCTTAGGATTCATGACTTGGACTATAGTCTAGAGTCCTCGTATGCCTCTTAATGATGCTTATATCACTCCCTTTAGTTTAAGGAGTGTAGACTAAGCTCACCAAGAGACTAGCACTTAGGGTTAGGGTGCGGGGTTTGGGACCTATCTTTCAGGCTTTACGGTTTCAGGTGTAAGGTCTGGGATTAGGGCTTTGGATTCGGGATTTCTGCTTTAGGCTTACTAAAAACATTTGCTGTTTCCATTAAGATCCCCATAAGTATTATCACTACTGCCATTGCTATCGATATGGCTATCGCTATTGCTTGCTATTGCTGTTGCTGTTCCTACTGCTATTGCTAGCTACTATTTGCAATTTTCTATTTACTGCTGAGTACTTGCTATTTGCCTTTACTACTACTATGACTATACTGATACTATTACTCTTGCTTTTACTGTCAGTTTGAGTCTTACTCTTACATTTATCCTTGCACTTACTTTTGCTTCTAATATTACTATTTCTCTTTTTCTTAGTATGACCATCGCTATCAAAATTACTATCCATGGTGCTAGTACTGTTGCCAGTTACTGTTACAATTACTGCTACTGTTATCACGACTCCTCCTCCTCCTCCTCCACCTCCTCCTCCTCCTATTACCTCGTAATACTACCACTGTAACTCCTACTCCTACTACTACCCCCCCTATTTGTGTTACCACGAATACTACTAGCATCAATACCCCTATTATTTGTATTATCCTAGACCCCCTAAAGGATCCAAAACATGAAACCTCCCAACAAAAAATCCCATTACTACATTGGGGAGCCTAGGGGAATGTAGGGAGGTTCATTTTTTGGATCCTTTAAACACCTTGGTGCCCCCTTGGTGGGCTTCGGCTAAACCCTAAACCCTAAACCCCTAAACCCTAAACCCAGTAAGCATATTCCAAAACCCAAGATGGTCCAGTTTCCCTTTTTGAGGGGCCAGATCTGCTTTTGGGTTTAGGGAGAAGGGTTTAGGGCTAAGGGTTTAGGGTTTAGGGTTACAAAGAGCCTAGTGCAGCTTCGATTTATAGACTTCACGGCTCAAAACAAGGATGATGTATGGACTTCAGCGAATCAGGGCCCGATGTAAGTATTGTTTGTAGACTTAGGGCTCGAAACTGGACCTAGATGCCAATAGTGATTCGTCAGCAGCTTCTCGCCGACGACCAAGGACAGGTAGGCTTGCATAAAGGGCGAGCCAGGTCTAGATGTCGACATCACGGCATTGTTCACAAAGTCTTTCTGCCCAAGATATGCCCAGTCCTGCATCATGCACGCACATAACAGAATTTAACACAGGACCTTCATCATGGATGAAAAGCTAGGCCCATGTGAGACAAATTTACAAATTTAACATGTCTGTAGACCAAACTCCTCCTCAAGAATCGGTGTCATGTCTCGAATAAGTAGGACATCACTGTCGATCCAAGCTCCACCATAGTTGTGCAACACAGTCACCCGCATGAGGTCTGAAATGGAAGTCGGATTTGTCTGTGCTTCGTAAATGTCGCGCAGTGTGCTAGCCATCCCCGGCGTGGTCGGAAAGACCTTTGAGCATTCCTTGTCCGGAACGAACTGGCTGATCTTAATGCTTTTTGCGTACGCTGGGTTTTGAAAAAAGGGACCGAAGATCTCCTGCACGGCAGAGCTGTCCGGGCTGAGATTCGACCAGAAATGGAGCTTGACTTTTTTGAGATCTTGCGTTGCCAGGAAAGACATTGGTGCAAGGCGTAACTTTCGGACCAGGTCGGAACTCTCATTGAAGCTTCCCTCTTGGAAGAATGCACCCGTGTGAATGTCAACTCGCCTCTTTAAGGTCCCTTTTGTTTTTGCGAGCTGCCTCATCATGTCAATGCACCGTTCGTTTAGCAGATGTGGAGCTTCAATCGGGACCATCTTTGCATCAACCTGATAGTGCCCCGAAATTTGGAGGCACCAATATAGACCCCATTATGCGCACCCCCAAACTGGTTCCCGTAATTTTGGGAAATCCTAAACCCCAAACCGTATATAACCCTATATACCCTACATATCCCCTGTATCGCCTTTAAAGATACCAGGGTCCCTAGTTTTGAGAAACCCTCACCTCCTTCATGAATGCCAGGAATTCAGGCGACGTGCGGTCGAGTGCTCGAACTTTGGGGGTTCCAACCTGCGGCTGGTACTTCAAGTTTGGGCTTAGGGCTTAGGGCTTAAGGTTTAGGGTTTGGGGTTTAGGGTTTAGGGCTTAGGCTTGGCTACCCCTGAACTGTCCAAACCCTTTCATTCAGAAATGTACCCTAAAGCATATTTCTGATTCCGTATGGGGATTGAGGTCTATTCATTCACTCCGCGTCACGACAAGGTCCAGACCTTAAAGCCTGAAAATGTTCAGGGAGGCCCGTCGAAGTAGCTATGCCTACCACACATACATGCTGCTTCCACGGGCAACCTAAACCCTAAACCCTAAACCCTTCGACCCTTGTTGTTCCCACAGGACCACTCCTCAGAGCCCTATTCCTTGGGGTTATATAGGGGTTATCTAGGGGTTATATAGGAGGTATATAGGGTGTATATTGGGATAATGGAAAAGAAAATGGAAACTACTATATTACAAAAGGGTATATATGTACAGGGGATATATAGGGATAATGGAATAGAAAATAGAAGCTACTATTTAGGGTTTAGGTTTAGGGTTTAGGAGGACCCCTCCCTCAGCAATAGTGACTATAAGGGATAATAAGGATTATATTAGGATCCTCTTATATTCATATTATACCACTATTACAGGGTGAGGGGTCCCCCTAACCTATGCCCTAAACCCTAAACCCCAAACTTTACTTCTCCTAGGTCTGGCTGTAAGCCTTGGGCGCAAAGGTCTCACTGCAAGGCTCTGGACCAGGCGTGGCCAAACAAAACAGCTAGACCTACATTGGGCCCCAATGTCTATAAATAGTACCTACATTGGGCCATTTGGAGCCCTAGGGTTCTACTACCCTGAAAAAACATGGGACTAAAAACGCCCCAAACCATCCGCAGCATGTTTTTGCTAAGTTTTGACTGCAAGGGGTTGCAAGAAAGATGTGAAGGCGCTCTATGCGCGAGCCAAATTTACAGCAACGCTCCATGCTAGAGCTTGACTTTGATTCGAACTGTGAGGATGCTCCATGCAAGAGCTTAATTTGGAAGAAAAACGTGAGGGCACAACGCTAGGGCTTGATGTTGTATCAACATGTGTGGCCCTTTCGTGCAAAAGCTCAATTTCCAAGACGAACTCATGTAATCTGAACATCTGGCATACAGCCAGGACCATTCTGGGAACAGTGTCATCTGAGCTATAGTCTAAGCTCCTAGTGTCCCCCTGAATAACCCCCATAACAGTCTCGCCTATATAATCCCCTATATAACCCGCCTTTAACGAGTTTAGACTATAGCTCATCTATCACAGACCGGCCCACTAAGAACGACCGACCCATTGACCGACCCACCAGTGACCAGGCAATACAGCCAGACCTACTAGGCTAAGCCGCAACCCTCAACCCTAAAACCTTCAAACCCTAAAACCCTACCTAACAAAGAAACACACACAGTCTTGGTCTCTTGGAACGGCCTGCACAGCTGCGCATTCATCCAGTTCAGCTTGCACCTTTCTTTATAAGGTGCAGCGATCAAGGTCTAATGCAAGAGCCTAAACATGTGGAAGATGGTCTAGGTATTAGTGTATATATGCACACATACAAGGAATGCGAGGGAGAGATATCGATAACTATCCAAAATCCCACATCATGGTAGGGGTTTTGCTCTTGCCTTCTGGTTTGAGCTAAAGGGTTTCGGGGGGATAGGGGTCTGCCTCTCACACGCCGTACCTGGGCGTAGCGTGCTGCTGGCCGGACAGGGCCTAAAAGTCTCGGCGAAAAAAAAAGCCTCCAAACTCCAACTAGGGCTTAAGTAATATAAGAGGTTATATAAGGTTATGTGGTGTTATATAGGTTTTATAGGGATATTGGAAAAGAACATGGAAACTACTATTTAGATGTATTCTGTTCAATGGTTTCCTGGCTCTTGTGGTTTCATGCTTTCTGATCCGATTGAATTCACGCATCAACTCGAACCTCAACTTGGCAAAGCACAAAGATCAGCTGCACGAAAGCTATAAACACCAGATTTGTCCACACACCGGCGACGGCCATTGCACAAGCAAATGATGCCGCGAGTCCTGAGCAACTTAGAACCCTTTCTGGAGGTATGCAATCTCGAGCCAGAGGGCAGCTACTTGAGTTTTCCACATAACATGTTGGTTTGGGTCGTCTTTTCTGTGGCTTCGCCTAGTCTCAGGATACACCCATGGATTCAAACTTGGAAGTACGACTTGAGGTTGTGGACAGCATTGATGCGGGGACCTACAATGCAAAACTTTGCACCCTCCCTCGCCCCTCTTCTGCCCCAAACACTGGAAAAATCTGTGAGGCACAAAAACCTGAAGTTGCAGCGCTCTGGACGAGGGTCTTGGACGCAACCCAACTCATCGTCGGCTAAGATAGGCTATAGAGCTTAGGATCAGGAACCATTTTCGATGGCAGCAGGCACTGTCACAAAGCACACTTGTGGAGCTAAATAGTGCACTGGTACGCAAAGCCCGCTTTTGCAGCCCTGAGCACCTCCTCAAGTGGCATCTGTGCATCTTTGTACTGCTACCACTCGTTCTTCTGCGAGCGAGCCGTGCATCTGTACAATGTTTAAGCCGTGTGTTGCTGCATTCCTGGTGAGAGAAATGAGAAGTACTGCTAGTGCTCCTCCGACAGCAGCAATCATGACAGCTAAAACTATTGTTCCGGAACCTTTGGTACTGCTACTATGAGCCTCTGCTTCATTACTTGTTCTGCTTTGCACCCTGCTCCTCTTCTGGGTTCCCCAGTAACCCATTGATAATGAGGGTACCCTTTTTCCTGATGTTCAGCAGGAAAAAGTGTCCTACTAAGGTACCCCGCAACCCTAAACCCTAAATCTATATATCCCCATCTGTCCCCCCTATAAAAGGGGTACTACTGGGGTACCTAGTCTAACTTTTAAGCGGATGGCTCAGGCTTTTGTCTGCCTTGGAACATGCCTGGGCTGCGGCTGAGGCGCTATCTGAGCTATAGTCGAAACTCCTAGTCTCCTCTTTAGTAACCCCTATGATCTAGGGTTCAGGCTGTAGGATTTAGGGTCTAAACTCCTAGTCCTAGTATCTCCCTTAGTAACCCCTATAATGCATCCAAAAAGAATCCTTATATCACCCGCTTTGAGGGTTTTGGACTATAGCTCATCTGCATAGTTGCTATCATTTCTGGGCGTGCAAACTGAGATGCATAGCAGGGGGGAGGGGGGCGGAGGGGTCATGTATAGACTGCCATGAAACTCAAAAACATGGTTTTACCTCTCAACTTCAAACCCTCAAGCTCGGGATAAACGGAAATGGTACCCTAATCCCTAAACCCTATACCCTAAACCCTAAACCCTAAACTCAGCACAGGCAACAGCAAACAAGAAACCTGTCAAACCCTGCCCCAGGCTCCCGTCATGAATCCTATACCATTTCCATAAACCTACACCATAGGCCCTGAACAAAGCAGTTTCCTTTCATTCCTCTGTATAACCCCTCTATATATATCACACAGCTGCAGAAGGCTCGGGCACAGCTGAGCGCAGTGCCACCCCTCTATATATAATATATTTCTAGCATGCTTGTATAGTTCTTCAAACCATCGATTATGTTATATAACCCCTATATCATGCATTCACTTAGTCTCTACAGTAACCCTAATATATACCCTATTATAATGCAGTAATTTCCATTTTCTTTTCAGTTATCACTAAACCCTAAACCCGTAACAGCTTGCGAGATGCAGTGATCCGAGTCGGTTTCGCGCCACCTTGAACGTGAATAGCTCGTGGAGAGGTCTGCCTTCCAGCATGCAGCGGCCAGGATCGACCTGGCAACAAATGGTTCTGGGTTTAGGGTTTAGGGTTTAGGGATAAGGGTTTTGGGTTTAGGGTTTAGGGTTCAGGGTTTTGGGCTTTGGGATTAGGGTTTTGGGCTTTGGGATTAGGGTTTAGGGTTTCCCAAAGTGAGGGGTACCTGGGAACTCTTAAAGGGAACGTAAGGATTATGTAGGGTTTGGGTTTAGGGTTTAGGGTTTAGGGTTTAGGGCTTCCCAAAAGGTATTGGTACCTTTCTGGGGGGGTCCCTATATTGGGATTCCAACTACTTAGGGAAGCGACCAACCTGAGCCCTAAACCCAAAAATAGTAGCTTCCATTCTCTTTTCCATTCTCCCTCTATATATATATACATATATATATATATGTATATCCCCTTCTATATAGCTACAATGTGAGATCAGGGCTTTTTGGCGGACCTTTTATTCATTCACGGGCAGCAGCCCATGAAAATGTCATAAGTTAAGCGAGAATTCAGGTGGGTAGCTACCAGGCGGGTGCCCGTACATAAGGCTTACATGAAGCCTATGTGGGGACACTAGGACCACATAAGGGCCATGTAAAACTTATATGAAGGAAACTATCCACCTGAAACTTCCTCGGAATAAAGCACGGTCCCTCAACCCTAAACCCTAAACCCTTAAACTGCACCATCTCCTAAGGTCTGTCTGTATCTACCTTTCACTGCCTCCACCGCCAGCACTAGCTCCACCACTGATGTCAGGAGTCACGCCCCTAAACCCTCAACCCCTAAACCCCTAAACCCCTAAACCCCTAAACCTAAACCCCTAAACCCTAAACCCCTAAACCCTAAACCCCCAAACCTAAACCCCTAAACCTAAACCNNTAAACCCCTAAACCCTAAAGTTCAGCCAACGGCAGACTCAGTGGACCTAAGCATGTCACCCTCCGGTAGACCCTCACTGGCTCACTTGCCGGTTCGATTTTATTTAGGGTTTTGGGGTTTTAGGGTTTAGGGTTTATGGTTTATGGTTTAGGGTTTAGGGTTTAGGCTTTGAGGGATTGCGCCTTTACAGTATGAAGAGTAGTAATGGAAATAACGATGTTAGTAATGGTGTCATTAACTGCAAGACGCGTTATAGTTGTCATAGTATTCATAATCGTAGCAGTAGCAATTTTCATAGCAGTAGTAGCAGTAAGAAAAATCAATGATAATGGCATATGGTTTTGAGCTTGGGGTTTGGGCTTGGGCTCAACTTCTTCTCCTCAACATGGAACTGGAAAAGTGTGGAGAACCCAAGGTTTATATTGTGGATTCCATGAGTAGCAGACATAGCGACACAAGCACCAGGCAGCAAAAGAAGGTGATTAAAGTCTCTTCTTCTTACCTCCTCGAAAGACTTTCCATGGAAACACCGCAGAAGCCAGAGAATCCCTCTGTGTACCCATACAATCCCTATATTTCCTTACATAACCCCATATACCCCAACTGGGAACACAATCTTTGACAAGAACCACAGACATCAAGGGGTCTTTACCGGATCACCTCATCAACTCAAGGAAGCACTTGCTGGTTGCAATTTTTGAGTCAATGTTGTTGTCCCCATGTTTATGGACACTAGCATGTGGAAAAGAAAACAAACGCGAAGCCCTAAACCCCCAAGTCCCACCTCGCATTGGAGCGTGGATGCGTCAAAGCCTCAACTTAGGTTCTCAGCTGCAAGAAATGTATTTTGAAAGGAGTTTGGTAATAAAAGGAGCTTTCTAACCCGAACCCACATAAGAAGGATACGATGACTACCATATGACTCTTAGAAGGTCTTTATTTTGGGGGAGGATTTGCCAAAATGCGCTCTGCAGAGTGCAGCTAATCAAAATCAGACCCTGCCGCGATGTCAGAACCCTGAACCCTAAACCCTTAACTAGGATAGGTTTGGGGGCACTATTCACATCAAAAAATTATGGTTAAAATTTCATGGCTTTATGAGAAGTAAATAGGAAATGAAGGCAACAAAAATTCTAATTGTTTTCAAACCCTAAACCCTAAACCCTATTTAACACCCCAAGTTTTCAAACCAACCCCTGTAAGGGATTTGGAACCCCAGTAGAAATTATAATTTCAGCTAAATATTAGGATTGTCGGTAACAGAAATTCATATTCATTTTCAGGAACCTTATAGTTGTAAACCCCATCCAACAGCTCTGCGAGGCCACCTTGCTTCCATAAGGTCGGCCATCGGAAGCACATGTTCAAAGTTTAGGGTTTAGGGTTTAGGGTTTAAGGTTTAGGGTTTAGGGTTTAGGGTTGAGGCTTTAGGGTTTAAGGTTTAAGGTTTAAGGTTGAAGGTTTAGGGAAGGTTTAGGGTTTAAGGTTTAAAGCTCTGAGCCGAAACCACACTGAGCAGCTAACTGTTAGCTCTACAACTCACTGCGATAACAAGCCTCCCGACCACCCCAATAACTTACCTGTTCTTGGTAGGGAGTATGGGGAGATATTATGCAGAGATTAGATAGGGATGAATTGTATCTAAATTCCCTTATTACCTACAAAGAACCAGTAAGGTAAAGAACATTCCCAGCAATTATAAGGGACTGCATTGGGGAGTATGTATTGTTTGGTGGCGGGGGGAGGCTACAATATTCCTGCAAACCCTAACCCCTAGACAACATCAATAATAATTTCAATTTGCTTTTCCACCCCAGTACAAAAGCCCTCGAACTTAGAATGTCCCTAAATAGCCCCTAGAAACCCCCTCTGTCCTAGGAGGCGGTTACACCCCTCACCCAAGCCCCCGACTCACGTTCTTCAGGAAGCCCAGGCGTCTGCCCGGGCAGTCACCGCAGTTGATATTCATTGCCTGCTTGCAACATCAGCTGGAGAGTATGAGTTCCATGTTGTTCCCTTGACCCCAAACCCCGAAACCACGAAACCCTAAACCCTGAACGCTAAACCTTAAACCCTCAACCCTCAGCAAGGCGTTCTTGTGAGATCGACCTCTTGAAAGGACTTGTTTGTTACCACTCCTTTTCGTGTTCTCAGCCAGGGGCTGGAACATGGAATAGGATGTACTTCTTCTCTGGCAGAACAAATAACCACAGACTTCATTCCTGTCTTTCTTTCTTTCTTTCAGGGCTGTAGGGGGTCCTGAGACCCCCCCCTTGAGCATTGCCCCAAGCCCGAGCACACTCCTGCGGTCCACTAACTCTTTACCGACCATTCCCATTTCTCAGATCAACAGGCGTGCTACCCCTCCTAGACACACATGCAAAGCAACACGAGCTCTCTCTCTCTCTCTCTGTCTGCCCCGTAGTGGAATCCCTTGACCATTCTCCTTTTCAGCATTCTTTTAGAGCTCTGCAATATCAACTCAGCCCTCTTGACGTTGACCACAAAGTCTACCCCTGCAAAGAAACAGCAAAAACAAACAACATGGCAGAGGTGTGCAAGGCAGTTGAGGGATGATTGATGGGGATGTCTGGGACTCGACTTCTCAGAGGCACTATAATTATATGGGTGGTTGTCAAAATTATGGTCCCTTTTTGGGTACCCGAAATATTAGGTGCCGACTTAATAATTTTGACATCCACCCATATGGGGGTTCCATAGGGTTATATAAGCGTTACATTGGGATAGTGGAAAAGAAAATGAAACTATAGCACAATCGGGTATATGTTGTCTCTCTGTGTCTCTCTCAGTCACCTCAGGCCTACTTGCGGCAAACCTTGGAATATCCAGTGGCGCTTGGCTTTCACGACAGATCGGCCATTTGGACCAATGGCTGCTACAAAATTCCTGCTGCAAGAGAATCCTAAACAGAAAAGAACTCTAGCAAGCTGTTGTCAAGGGACCGCTGGACCCACAAACCTCCCGACTGCTACCAAAAGCTCCGGACGTGGTCATGGCAACAATCCAAAATTCAAGTGACAGAAAGTAGGTTGGAGGCATCTGCCTCTTCCACCCTCACGAATTCATCACTGGCAATGCCAGCGAGAACACTTCTTGTGCTACTGCCACTGAACGATTACTTTCCTTCTCAAAATTCCAATGTCGTTGATCCAAACCCCTAATCTTAAACCCCAAGCTGATATTGAAACTTTATTTCTACTCAGACCCTGGAACTACTCATTAACGACTCTGCCTTGGAGATGCCACACTCACGGCCTGCAGAAAGCCAACGACATGTTGGGCAGAGGGCTCAGGGTTTAGGGATTTAAGCTTGTGGTTTCGGGGTTGTATTAATCGAAGCCATTTGCATGGCTGGTCATTTTACAGAAGATCTCTGCATGCCACTTGAATGTGAAGCATGTAGTCATCACAATCTGTCATCTAAATATTTGCAGCTTGAAGAACATGCTTAACGTACCATACCCTTGTCATATGATTGCTATGTCTTACGGTGGACCCAGCCTAGTCCTGGATTGCTAGCGTTCAAGCTATCCCATTCTCCAAACTAAACATGCTTGAATTGGAAACTAGGCGTAGTTCGACAACGACCCCCTTGCGGAATGCTCACCCTTGCCCAGAAGGTAGGTCGATGGCTTGGGAAAGCTTACTGAGTACGTGGGCATACCGGTGTTGCCAGGCGTGCATGGTTTGCCTCATGAAAGCCTTGTAACTTGCTGGACAACGTGTGTCTCCGCTCATGCATCCCGACCCAGAGCAGCAGACATTGGAAAGTTTACATGTGACCTACAAACAGTATTTTCTACATATTAACGGACATGGGTTCCTTACTAGGGACTATATTAAGGACTAACCTAAACAACAAGAGGGACCCCTATGTCAATTACTAAGGAACCCTTTATAAGGCGAATATTGACAGTAGCTCATGTGTCCAACTGGGAGCCGCTCTATGCCCGCCGCAGCCTTCTGCTGCGCAGGAGCAGGGTACTCGTCGCGAGGATGTTTGAACCAGGTTGCTGGAGGTTCCCGCCAGCCTTGTCTTCTGAGGTTTGGCTTAAGCTTTTTAGGGATTTATATTGTTTATTGGGCTTTATATATAGGGTCTATAATAAGGTTTTAGGGATATATATATATAGATAGTACTGCAGCTTGTCACACAACCCAATGAAGTGGTCTCGAACTCTCGGCATATGATCTGATTGAAATGCGTTCTGCCCTGCTACCCAATTAATGGCAAACCTGGTCTTTGAAAGGTAAGAAGTGCGTGTTTTCCATCCGGGATTGTGTAAGGAAGCCTGTTTTGACTTGCGTGGCCCGCAGCTTAAGCCAAAGAAGATCGGAAGAAATCATCTTGTGTGTATGTGAACCTGCGGCTTTGAATTGACTGGTTTACAGGTGAAAGTACTTCAGCACTTCCAAGGCTAGCTAACCTTGGACCTTGGCAGGTCCAAGAGCGAAAGGACGGCATGATGGTTGCCCTAAGGTGCTTGCAAGTCGAGCAGTGTCAGAACTGAGATCGTTTGGGCTGTGGGAATTGTTTTCATTCAAGTCGACAACCAACCTTTCCTAGCTTCAAGCTTCCTAGAGGCAAGCTAGGTTGCTGGGCCCTTGATATTCATACGGTTCAGGGTTTGGGGTTTCGTGTCTAGGGTTATGGGCTTGGGTCTCGGGGGCTGGTAGGGTTCTGATGGGTAGGTTGTCAAATGGCTGCTCCCTTATTTGGTCCTCGCTGTAATCCGGCCCCTGATTTAACCTACAAGGGGGCAGAGAATATGGGAATATACTATATAAGGATTATATAAGGATTATATTCCATTATTCTCTACTCAGAACCAGTAAATTAAACGGTAATGTAGACCCGTGATTCATAAACCCCCTCCTTTAAAGGCCTTAATCCCTATTATAATCCCTACTAGGGGCGGGGCCCTAAACCCCAAACCCTAGACCGGGTCCTCATTCTCCCGAAAAAGGTGCCATAATTTTCAATGCCCCTCGTTGGGGCTTGGGCACACACAGCTCAAGATCAAGCGCCGGCTTGGCTCTTTCAGTTTAGGGTTGAGGGTTAAGGGTTGCGGGTTTAGGGTTTTGAATTTAGGGACCCTCCCGTAGATCCACAGGAGCTCTTGTACCACTCTACGCTCCACCAAATCCTCAAAATGACCTGGGAACTGCATGGGGATGACAACAATATGTCAACTAAAGACAGAACTTAACGAACCCATGCTAAGCTACAACGAAAGGTTGCCAAAAATGCAGGGTCCCTTTTTTGGGGGGTTCCTATATACAGGATTGCTGTAGGTCAAGGGTATACAGGGCCCTAAACCCTAAACACTATGCACCCTAAACCCTAAACTTTGCGACCCAAGGACTCTCTCGAGGGCTTTAGCGGACTGCAGACCGACCCGTTGCCCACATACTTCCTTGGCTACAAGGTTTAAGGTGTAGTGTTAAGGTTAAGGGTTTTTTTTCTCGGACCAGTTTTCCCGGCACGACGTCGCAAGGAAATGCCTTACAGAAAGGTCCAGGAAGGTTAAGGGTTAAGGGTTTAGGGTTTAGGGCTTGGGTTTAAGGTTACTGTTGCCACTAATCTTCCTGTTAGATTATTATTGTTAGATTCTTACGACGCTTACTGCTATCACTGTTAGTACTACTATTGCCATAATCCAGACCTTCCGTTTCAGGGTCCTGCAGAATCTTGTCAAGAGGCGGTTGTATCGGTTGTTAATACGGAGACAAGGGAGCAGAATCCTTACATAACCCCTAAATCATATATTCCCTTTTCCTACTAACCCTAAACCCTTAACCCTAAACCCTATACCCTTAACCCCTTAACCCTAGCCCGGAATCCTAAACCCCTAAACCCCAACACTAAGAACCTTAAGCTGTAACACCGGAGCTTGCAATAAAGCGCAGGCCACGGGACTCCAAAAGTTGCTCGAAGCGCGCTTCAGCAGCCCTGTAGATCTTCTCATCAACCTGCTAGTAGCTGATGATTGGGATTGAGGTTTTGGGGTTTAGGATTTAGGGTTCTGGGCTTATTGGAGTTTCCGATCTCTAGAATCAGGCACTGAGTGGGGAACATGTACCTTCTGCTAGCGCAGGATTGGATGCAGAGCACTTCCGGGGCCCCAAGACAGGCTGGTACATGGCTTATAGGGTTTTGGATTATTCTCGTCGTCATGAAGCCAGACTCAAGAATCCACAGCCAAATCGAAAATAAAACGGAAACTGTGGTCATGGCTAAAAATCAACCTCCCCTCTGAGACTTCATTTGGGATTTCCAGAACTGGAGTATCCCAAGATAGACCCCGAGAATTTAGGAAACCCCTCTCTGACCCTGTTAGCATAAGAACGCCACAAGAAAGGTACTGATCCTTTGCAGGCCTTGTCTTCGAACCCACCCAAGGCTTTCTCGTCGTAGAGATGCTGGTGGTAGCCTGATGCGAGATGCCGCCTACAAGGGATAGGGTTTAGGGTTTAGGCTTTATAGCGTTTAGGGTTTATGCAGAGGTGGTACGTGTCGAAGTGACGCACGCTTAGGGGTTTAGGGTTTAGGCTTTAGAGCTGCAAGAGACCTATTCCAAAAATTCGCAGACTGCTCAGATCGAACGACGACGAGAATGAGGAACGCCAGACAAAGAACAGGTGCTGGAAGCTCTTTCTGCGGTTGCATGTTGGCTTTCGTGGCGAAGGAAGAAGCTGTGCTTACAATTCTGGGCCACCCAATTCTTTCTAGCAGTGTGTCCTGATATGAGGTTTCCAGAATACAGGGCCCCAACACAGACCCCAACATCTTATATTTCATGTTACAAGGACTCCCAATACGAGACCCCGAATTTGTCGAGATTGCCACGATGTGTCATTTACCTGAATCACACAGGAAAATGGCAAAAGGATAAGACGTGCTTAAATCTCTAACGCAGGCACCCCAACTACCAGGGAAGAGAATTACATTTGGAGTCCTAAACCCCAAACCCTAAACCCTAAACCGCGTGTTTTTTTGCTGCAATTCAATGAGGCATACTACCACTGACTCGGGCTTCTACAATACATAGCCCACGGTAAACCCCAACACAAGTCACGTGTCCATTTCGTCTTCAGTTTCACGGTCAAAAAAATTCTCCACTGAGCCAGATACGTAGCCCCCTAAGCTGTACCGTAAACTCTTTTCCAGGTCGCTGTCCAGGAACTTAATTAAGTTACCAGAATGGGTGTGTATATATATAGAGGAATTAACATGAACTGTGCATATTAAGTTAAATTACAGAATGGGTACACATATATATATATAGAAAGTGAATATGAAAGTGAATATGGTTCCCCCTTCCTCAACAGCAAATCAGTCTTGCAACTAGCTCTTCACGCTTCTGGCTTCTACATGAAGGGTATCCGTAGTCCTCCAGCATGGAAGTCCACCAGCTGTGCCAGGTTGACCGCACCACCAAACCTGAGTTGCCGCTACTCACATGCGGTTTAAGGTCTAAGGTTTAGGACTGGGTTTAAGGGTTAAGGGCTTAAGGTTTAAGGTTTAGGACTGGGTTTAAGGGTTTAGGGTTTTGGGTTTTTGGGCTCGGGGTTTAGAAATTTATGAAGGGCCCTAGATGCATGGTGCGTTTGGAAATGGTCAGATGGTTCAATAGGTTGTCAAAAACATGGTCCCTTTCTGAATTTCTGGGTCCTAGGACAATAAAAACCCTAAGACGTAGGGTACCCAAGACGGATCCTTGTTGTGACAAGCTACCGTGTGATGCAGGGTTGGGATTTCGGGTTCATTGGGGATTTACAGTAGGGTTTAGCGGCGGGGTCGTGGTTAAGATCTGTGGGGTTTAGGATTTGTGCAAGAATCCTTTGTGGTTCTCAGACAATCTTGAGCTGCAAGCTGTACCATATGGCCATTATATACGGCTTATATAGGGGTAATATAATATAGGGATATTGAGAGACTAACATGGAAACCAAATCCAAAAAAACACCCAGACCATGAAACGCAAAAAGACTTGTCACCACAAAGGAATAACACCCTATGCCTGATCATGTGCCGCGCTGCATGCGGTGGAATAGGCAAACGGACTCGTCCCATCTCTCCGTGAGACCCACAAACGCCATTTCCTAGAGCAACGCAAAAGTGGGTTTTAGGATTTCGTGTGTTGCAATACCAGAAATACTGGCTGCCAAGCAATGATAAGGAAGTACTTTTGGTGGTTGGCCTATGGCATGTTGGGGTTTGAGTCTGGTCTGGCTTTTCAATGGGTGGGGCCCTGGCGCTTCATCTACTTGGCTCAGTAAAGGTTGCAGATGTTTTGATATTTCAGCTCAAATGTAGGTAAGCACTCTTCGGGGGACAGCCTTCAGCCCTTTATGAAAGCTTGCTTTCAGTTGACCTCTGCAGCCTCTGCTCCCAATAGTCTTTCACACATTGGCTTTCCAGCGGTTCCAGGAATGATTTAGGTAATCAGGCACGCAAGCAACTTCTACCGATCATCATGCGTGCTCTACACTCTCGAACGGGGTCCTGGCGCTGCTTTTGATGCGGGGCCTTGGAACTACCCTTACCCCTGAGCGCAGTGGAAACTGGCCTTCAACATCTGCAAGGCTTCTGGAAGCTTCTCCCGCCCGCCGTCAAAGGGTTGCCCTTTCCTGCGAAATCGTTCAAGGAAGCAGATTGTTCAAGCTACCGTAGATGCAGAACCCGCAAGAACTGAAACAATGTGTCCAAAAAATGCCTGTTTCTCTGCAGGCCTCGGCACTAGTCCACTAACTTCAAGCCTATGACCAGTTGCGATAACACTCAAAATAGGATTCCGCAGGTACGTGCTATAGTATACAAAGGTGAAAGAACGTCAAAGTTACTTGCGTGACCTCTGTTGGCTTTGGATTTTAGGCGTCCCCTATCGATCTCCACCTTTTGCGTGGACTTCACACAACCCTGGCTTAGATGAGCTATAGTCCAAGCTCCGAGTATCCCCCTTAATAACCCCTGTAGGAGTCCCATATATAATCCTCTATGTAGCCCCGTTTAAGGAGTTTAGGCTATCGCTTAGATAATTCAGCGTATCGTTTTAGGAAGCCCCTAATCAATCTGGATGATTTTTGAGCAACAACTACCGCCTAGACTTGATGAAGCAAACTGACCTTTTGACCACTACTCATGTACGTCAGTATATATACGCACCGCTAACCTGCTCAAGCAGTCTGAGGTGGAACCAGGTGCGCACTCATGTTCTGGACAAAATTGCCATAATTTGTTCTGCCTTACACCTGTTGTTCTCGAACGAGTGGCCCCAAACCCTTAACCACAAACCCTCAAATCACAGGTTGGCCTTTCCAAATGTTGGATGCTCACAGATAGAGGGTTCATGTGGCTTCACTACGTGGCAAAGCACAATGAGTCCGTGCTTTCGTCGCCCCACTTCCCACGGACGAGGTCTCGTGATCCTGCGGCTGCTAGCGCTTCATGATCCTCTTTGAGAATGAGAACGTCGCGATCCTGCTTGCCGGAGTCGCGATCCTCGTGACTGCTGTCATTTATAGACACTCCCTTGTTCGTGGTCTCTGCAAAAGGGGAACCATCATGCGTGCTTTACAGCCTCGCGGTTCTACTGACTGTCGTCGTTTTCGGACATCTCCTCTCCCTGGTTTCTGACAAGTGCCAACTGTCACGTGAGTGATGCGTGCGTGAGGATTGTGATCCTCCCATCCATCTTCATGTTGGAACCAATGTATGTCATCGCTGTCAGGGCAGCCATCCACATCGACGTAATTGCTTGTGGGCCCGCTGGGGCGATAGAATAAGATCCCGGAGTGCACGGCGCTTTCAGCTTGGCTGAGGCCATAGGATGCATGGTGCGGGGCGCCGCCTTTTCTCTAAACCTCCAGTGCTTCAATTATCCCACTTCAAGCCTTCACACTGGAAGCTACAGTTGTGGCTTCTGGGAGACTGGCATCGCCACCGAGCATGATTTGATTTGTGGCTTTCCAGCTGCACCTTTTTCAGGCTGTGCCCAATGCCAGGACAGGCTTTTTTGAGGTGACAGCTCAACAGAAACCATCGTGGGCAGGCAGCTTCTTGCAAAGGAGCAAGCCCAACCTGCAACAAGCTGTCTCCAATACAGTTGGGGGTCTCCCAAAATTGGGTTTTTGTCATGGGATATTATCCTAAAGAGTGGAGAATCAAATGGAAAAGAAAACGGAAATTAAATGGAATCTGGGATTATGGGGTTTATAGGGATTAGGGTTTCAAAGTTGCTGACATGGCAACCCGGTGTTGCTGATGATGCTGGCAACTGACATGCTGGGCAGGAAGCCTTTAACCATTCATGATGCAGAGGCCGTTGTGGCTTGAGAGAGAGATTTTTTGAAGCATTCTTGAGTTTGATAGTCAGCTTCACGACGAACGCTACCCGTTGATGCTACGTGGGAGTTTCCAAATCAAGGTTACTTTGCGTCCCTCCCCAGGCTTCTGATTCGGGTTGAGGCCCCTGCAGACAATGGAAAGGACCGTCTGTCGACAATACCAGCACGGCCCATAGGCAGTTTCTCGCAGTTAGGATCCACCGTGAACCCCAACATGATAGGATCCTCATGGCAAGGATAAAGTGCCCTACCCAAACCCTGAACTCTACAACCCAAACCCTGAAGCCTAAACCCCACCCAAACCCTAAATCCTAAGCCCTAAACCCTAAAACATAAATCTTAAGCCCTGAGCCCATCAACCCCTGGCTGGCACTCCTCTCACTCTCTGGCTCCGCACAGTTGCCGCCCGTAAGCATGCGGGCAGTGCAACCAGCTATGCCTCTCGAAAACACGTCACAATGCTTAGGGTTCAGGGTTTAGGGTTTAGGATTTAGGGTTTAGGATTTAGGATTTGGTTTTAAGTGAGATATAGGAACAACAGTAGCACTACGGGATGTACTCGAAGCAACATTAGGGCTGTTCATAGTCAGAACAACAGCAAGCGTAGAACATCCTGATAACCATGCTGGCAGGCACAAGGCTCATACTGAAAGGTTCTTCGGGGTCCTCTTGGTAACGACTACTGTAGATATCTATTCGCTTGAGATGGAGCTCGGAGGTCTGTTAGTTGTAAGAGCAGTACAAGGGAACAGCATTTAGAAATTCTTCCGGCCTCCCTACATCGCATTCCCTATAGACCTCCAAAAACCATGTTCCATGGCATTGTTTCTCCATCATTGGTAGTTACCCAGGCACTGGACCCTAAACACTCACTCCAAACCCTGAACTCATCATTGGTAAATATCCGGCTTATTACATTGGGCTCTGAATGGTCTCTTCTAGCTGTATCTCTTCTCCTCGCGTTGAGAGTTTATGAATTCAGGATGTTGAGTTTCAGGCGCTCGGGTATGTTTTGGGGTTCTAGAGTTTTAGTGGTTTCGGGTTTGGGGATTTCAGTTTGAGGTTCAGGGTTTAGCTAGGGCTTAGGATCTAGGCCCTGAAATCCTAGACCACTAAAGGCTCTGATTGCCTGTTAGTATAAACTTGGGCCTACTCTTCCGACTACCACAATGCATTGGAGTTCAGGGGTTTGAGGGGCTTCAGGACCTGAGAATTTTAGCGTTCAAGTGTTCGAGGGATTTACATGGTTGATGGTTTAGGGGCTTCAGGGCGCAGCGACTTTGTGTTCTGGGGCTTCGAGTGCTCAAGGCCTTGTTATGATTTGTAGCTTAGACACTCATCATCGCTCATGGCTTCGGGGGTCTTACGTTTCAGGTGGCGCGGGGCTATTCAACTATAGTAGTGTCCATTTTCTGTTCCATTCCTCCTGAACCCTAAACCCTAAACCCTATACAATCCATTATAATAGTTTCCATTTTTCCATTATCCCTATATGGCCCTATATATTCCCTTACTCCCCACTAAGCGTAATAAGGGTCATATCATGGGCTCTGTATAACTTTTATATAACTACTATCCAGCTGTTACTGGTGCAGTATACGATCAACAGAGGTGAATAAGTTGCTGGTAAGGGCTCAAGGGTGACGACAGTCATGCGGATCGCAAGCCTCTCTTTTGCAAAGTAAGCAAGTGTATTGCAGGGCCCAAACACTTGCCAATATTACGGTTCTAGATTCCTTGCATTAGCGTTGTATAACGCACCTCGCAAAGACCACAAACTTAGAGTGGTAACTATGAATAATTACGTAGGGCCCTGCATTGTAGTGGTGTTGGTCTTCCAGTGTACCTTTGAGGCGGCGCCGGCTATTTATGACGGCCTGGCCCCACGCTAGTGATCCCCTTGAGCTTTGTCTGGAAGCCTGGATGGCGCGCATAGCAGGCAGCCCTGTCATCGCCCTTGTGTCTGCAGTCCTTCAGGGGATGAAGCAGTCAACTTGTTGAGTCATACCATGCAGGAGCAACAGCTTCCATCTCTGGGTAGTACCACCTCCAATTACTAGTTTAAGGTTGAGTTGGGAACATAATGAAAAAGCTGAGACACGTGGCGCAAGTCTGAGGCTCCCTCAGAATCATGAACGAATTGTTTCTGTTCTAAGCCACAGGACCCAAGCTTCTTGATCCCGAAGAGTTTCATAGGCTTAGGGTGTAATTGCGGGCTTTGAGGTAAGACTTCTGAAATGATCTCAATATGCTGGCTCGTTACCAACTGAATGAATGCAAGCTGCAAATCGTCTGCAATCCGAGCTGATGTGCTCTTGCACTTACAACATGAACCAGAACCAGATCGGCCTTGTGTGCAAATGTGACAGCCCCTAACCTGTGTGAGAGCAAACCTTCTTTCTGCACCGATCCGCTTGTCAAACAGGGGAACGAGACATGCTCATGAGCATCAGCATAGAAACCTGAACCCTGAATTTCATCTTGCTGGTGCTTAGTCGGGAATTTGGGAATATGATCCCCACAAAATCCCTTTTTGTATTTCATTTCTTTATTCCCAATTAAGCCCTAAGTCATACTGTAGCTTCACAGCTTAGTTGGACTGAGGCACCCCAAGAAGGAAGCCCCATATCATAAAACCCTAAACCCTAAACTCTGCAGGGTGGATGAATTGCCATCCAAATGGGAACATGTTCCAACTTGTTCCATGCATTAGTGGGTTCAGGTGGGTGGGATGCAGGACATCAAGCACTGAATATGATGGTTTACACTGCGGTGGATACAAAAATCCTGCATGACCCTAAGTACCCTAAACCTTGGGAATAATGGTACTATAGTATACTAAGGACTTTTAGTATCGACAGTATGGAGTTACTTTCTGAAAGCTTTCACTGCGAACGGAATGCCTGTACCAAGTTTTCGTACTCAGAGGCAGTGAAGCCAGCAGCATGCCAGCCGTTGTGAAAGGCAGAGATCAACCTGGAAGTACACAGTCACAGTACTTGGAGGAATGGAAAAGAAAGGGGAAACTACAGGGATTATAGGGATTATAGAGAGGTTATGTAGGGAATATAGGTATAAATTCAGGTTATATAGGGAGGATGGAAGAGAAAATGTAAATTCACTACTATTACTGCTTAGGGTCTTGTGTTTAGGGTCAGGGCGACGTACTAAGCAGTAAACTTATAAACCCCACGTGGTAACCCCAGTTATCCCCACTTACTAAGTGACCCCAACTCTCCGAGTATAGGCTTAGAATTACCAGTTTCGGGCTTGGGATTTAGGAG